TCATATTTGTTGAAACTGTCTATATACACCAATGCATATTAAAAAGTTAGGTAAACTGTCTGTAGTCCTCTCAGGGCTGCGGTAAACACAGCCACTCGTTCCATTCGGACCGAATGCAATGATTGGCTGGCTGACTGTCACATGGCTACCAGCCCTGCTGCCACAGGAGCTGCGCCGGTTTAGTTATTCACCATATAGGTTTATTGTTATACTACGTTTACACCTAACTTTCCATTATCTTTACCTTGTATCTAATCTGTTTGTGTGATTATCTTGTGTCTGCAGTTGATGTTTAACTGTATGTTACTCTTTTATAAATGTGGTGATGTAGCTGTGTGTGTGTAGTTATGAGAAAGACATTTCAATGTTAATATACATAAACAATAATGGCTAAAGTTCTCCAAGTATCTGTGTTTCTGGTATATAAGCTACCTATAATATAGTTTGACATTGTTCATAGTTAAACCTACTGTGTGAAAACATTTTACTGTAATTTGTGCAGTTATGCCATTACTTATTTTACCAGAAGTAAAAAAGCCCTGTATGTTTTATTTCTGCTGTGCCCTCAGGTCACCTGCAGATTTGGAGTCTTTAATAGCCCTATGCTTCTCACCAGTATACGCTGACCGGACCATGCTGGTAGGCCTGGATTACAACCACCATGTCCACAGTCAGTCCAGGACAAAAGTTGATGACACAGTTCAGTATGTTGCATTATGAGTACTCCTATGCATTTTATTCAATACATTTATAAGTGATGAGTCAAAAAATATTAAACAGTATGAGGAATACAGATAGATGGTGCTGATTTATTGTTTTGATTGCGTTCTATGTGGAAATGCTAACTGCTAAATGCTGATGTCAGGTATTACAAACTTTTCACTAAGCTGATCCTCCTTTCTGTATTATCAGGTACAGCAAGGTGTACAACAAAAAGTCCAGGAAGTGGAGATTGTACTCATTGAAGGTGGAGAAGGACTACAGTTACATCGCAGACCTCCAGAGTGCCATCCTCCTGATGATCCCTGTCAACATGGGGTTCAGTCAGGTGTCCCTGCCCCAACTATGTTGCTAGATACAGCAAAATATAAATCAAAAAGTAATATGGTTGGTTTTGAAATGTGGTAATCATGTCAGAGAGGTGATTGTGATATATTAAATCATCTCCACAGCAGTGATATGATGCTACATGCAAGTCTGAACTGTCTTCATAATCAGTCAACACACCTCTGGACACCCCTTGTCGATTCCTGTATATACTTATTTTTAATGATGTTTAAAATGATCTATTTGTGATATAGGTTGTAGTTTTAGTAGTATTTATAATTTATAATAAACAAGTGTTATACCACATTTAGATGTCATTATTGGAGACATAAGACATAAATGTAGTTGCCTGATTGTTTATTCTGCAAGTGTAAAGAAAAGGCATTTATCATTTTCAATGTTTTATTTAAAAAAGAATGAAAATATTATCCATATACTTTGTATTTTGTCTACCCTCCTGGGAATAAAACTAACAATGTACAGGTATTTATCCACACAGTGGATAGAATTATTTGTGTATCAGTTAGTGACATTACATCTTACACCCTGCTAGGATTAAACCTCTGTATTGTCCTAATGGATCAGGAGAACAGTTGCATATCTTCCAGAAACAGCAACTCTGTATCACGACTCTGTGTCTTAGTGATCCACATTGCCACACTACAAACTGTCTATATGCTGCCTGACTGAACTGTCTGTTACTCTGTCCTGGGTCTGGAAGGTCAGCCATGTGTATATACATATATATATACCTGTTCATATGCCGTTGTTGGAGTGTGATGCTCGACGCAGGTACGTGCTGCTCGGCTTGCACCTCGTCCTTCCTCTCCTTCCTCTGCTTCGCCTCGACCCAAGGCCGGTCCCGGTCCTGTCCCGGTCTGTGCTTAGCTCTGGAGTGCAGTTTTCATTGGAGACAATAATGCTGTCAAAGTGGAAGCTCTAACATGCAAAACAACATACATGTTATGAGTCTAACACGAAATTCACGTTCGTGTAGTGTAACTGTTGGAAACGGGAAAATGTGTATCAGCCTGTTTTTAGCTTTGCCCAATGTTACCGCTGCTGTTAGCACAGCTACCTGTTGCTAACAGTTAGCTAGCCAACTCGTTACTGAATCAAAGTCAGTCTTTTTAAACCTATCCAATATTAACATGCTAGCTTGATAGTGAGTGCTAACAACCGGGTTAGTTGTTTATTTTCATAACGATAAAGTTAAATGTTTTCTTACCCCTGCATTGTGCTGCCCTCCGCTCGTCACACTGTGCTCGTCCTCCGGCAGAGTCGGCAACGCGCGTTCACGTGTTTTGGGGCCATGGCTTTGAAAGGAGCCCAGAAGGGAGGGGGTGGGAGTTTCTCTGTTGGATACTTTAAAAAATCCAGCACTTTCTTGCTAGTTTCTCAAACTTACCTACCCTGCGTTTAAAACTGGTTTGGTTTTACAAGGGACACCAACAGTGGCCTCCTACATGAAAATCCTGTGTTTGTTTGTGTTTGTCCATCCACCCTGACCCTGTCCCTATGTGGACTCTGTCACATACTGCGTCACCTGGCATTTTTTCTCTGTGACATTCGAGCATAAAATGACATGCCATCCTTGCACAATTTAAGTCAGTAGATATTAAATGATGTGAAATGAAACACATTGCCGTATTATTCATACACTATTTGGTGATCCTAGTCCTGGCACAGATCTGCTCTCTAATGAGTGCACTTTTCTAGTTCTCTATGTGCTTCCTCTACTGCATCCTAAGATGTACTCCAGTACTTTGTACAACCAGGATGAGTTCTTACTTATATATCCTGTAAGCAGTTGTGGATCACAATCTTGGTACCAGTCACTCATTATTTTTCAGATGACTGAGCAAAACAAGGGAGCTAATATTGACCGTCACCACATTAAACCGCAGACTTGTTCGGTAAGCATGATATGTTTATGGAGTTGAGTTGGATCAGAGTTGGATCACACTCCCACCACAAACGAACCGCTCGTTTGGGACCGGGCCGACACCACCTCATATCAAGGATCTTGGTGTGGCAGTTTTGTTATGCACCCTGAGTGTAATTAATGTCCAATTTAACAGGACTAAAAAGTGCAGATGCAAAAAGACCCCTAGGCAATAACTGAACCAATATGCTATTTTATTCACAAGGACATGCATCCATATATTGTAATGTTTTTTTGTTGTTGTTGGATTTAAAAGGAGGACACTGACCCTGGCTTCCCAAATAATTGCCCTGTGTAACATTTCCCATTGTTCACTATAGTTTTTTTATACTTGGAATAAAGAGTTCCTTTGAGAATATATCAACATTTTTAATTTACAAAGATCGAAGTTCCAGTGAATCAAATGATTACAAATTTATTTTTAATTGTATACCATCTGTCCAATTGCCAATTGATGTGTCTGAGAGGAAAACATAGCAAACAAAACCATCTGCTTAAGAATAAACCATGTAATCTCAACTCTCCGTGCTACAGGGATTGTATTTGGTGAACGTGAAGACTTGTCATGTATAATGTTTATATGCAGTCCAAAGATGTTTAGAAAAGAAAATGCTCAGATTTACTGCCATTTACCTTCACACCACTGCTTGACCAGAATAAACCTATTAAGATGGCTCCTGTTCCCTCTGAGTTGAGCTCTCTAAGGTGTCGGGAAAACAAAGCTGACAGTGTTTGTATGTAAGGCATAATGTTGAATAAAATTGGAAGTCAAACCATTTACAATTGCAAGAACACTGGATAGAAAATTTGTGAATTTTTATCAGTTCTGTTCTTATTCCTTTTCTTTGTTGATCTACAGAATCTTAAATTTGCTTTCTTTTCCTCACCCCATGCTCGTCTTTCTCCATCACTTTATTTTCATTTTTTCAGCTCGCCCGCCTTCCCAGTGGAGCCAATCTCAGGATCGTAGTCTTTGCCAGGATGATTCGATAAAGAGCATACGCCAACATGTCTGGTCTTTAGCATTAATAAGATCAATCGCAAGCAACGCCATCATGCTCCTCTCTCTCCTGGCTGCTCCGGAAAGGAGACACACACACACACACACACACAGAGTGAGCTGCAAAGAGAAACAAGAAGTGGACCTGTAGGTGTGGGATGGCAGTGTGTGTGTGTGTGTGGGTGTGGGTGTGTTGGTGTGTTATATTGTGTCTCAAGTCTTAGCAAAAGGTTTGATATTGCAACTGAATGCGGTTGTGTGAGTGGGAGCATGGGTGAGTATGCATTGTGTCTCAGTTGTGAGTTTGTGTGTGTGTGTGTGTGTGTGTGTGTGTGTGTGTGTGTGTAAGATGCAGCAGATTGCGTAGGGCGGGGGAGAGTGGGCTTTGCCTGCACACTAACAGATGGCAAGAGAGGGGGTTTAAGTTTCTTTTCTCACTTCTTAAAGAGCAACCAGTTAAGAGCTTGTGTGCGTGTGTGTGTGTGTGTGTGACTGTGTGCTTTAGTGAGTAGCACGACTGTTTCATTCTCAAGAGTGTTCACTTAACTAAATTTATACAGCGTAAGCAAGCTTGCTCCACAGCTGAAGTACACACACAGATGCAAACACACAAATACAAGCACAAAAACTAAGGCAGGTGTTGCTGCCACTTCATCAGTGTTCTCTCCTTAAGAGGAGAGAAAAGCAAAGGGCTTGGAAATGAGAACACACATCTCCTCTTCTTCAGAATGAAGAAGGTAAGGGAGAGGAGGCCGGTGAGACAGGTGAGAAGTGGGGGACAGAGAGGAAGAGAAATCTCAAGGGGGTGAAAAGAAAGTAAGGTGCTGAGAGGGAGTGTAACAGCGAGGGTGTTAGCAAATAGGGTGTTTGAAATAGAGTGAAACGATTGTCTCTTTACTTGACATTTCTTAGGGATAAGCAAGCTACAAATACACGTAGTCAGCGTAAGATTGGTTATAATTTTGTAATAGTAATATATTGTTATGTCCTTCTCTGTCCCAGGGAAGGTATCAGTTGTGCCACGACAAGGTGTTGTCAACACTAGCAGACATCTTGGAGCAGGAAAGTCAGAAAAAAACAAAAGGTAGCCACAACAAAATGACTAAGCACCATCGTACATAAGCATGTTTGTAAAAGAGGGTCATAGGCTGGCTATCCAGGGTAAAGACAACCAGAATCTGCAGCAGACAACCCAGGGATGGGAGACGAAGGTGGACCTGGGGAGGAAACTGTTCCCAGATGTAGTGCTTCCACAACTCTGAGACCAGACATTGTCATGTTGTCTCTGGAGGGGAAGAGTTATTTTGGGGGAACTAACAGTCCTGTGGGAGGAGAGCATTGAAGCTCGAGGCAGAATAAAAGAAAACCCCAAGTATGAAACAACCTGTCCAGGAGTGTTGGGAAAGAGGGTTGACAACATGGCTGTTTACAGTGGAAGTAGGGTGCCGAGGATTTCCTGCCAAATCAGTGTGGAACCTAATGACAAAAGCTGGCATGAGAGGCCACAAGAGGAAAACAGCAGTTTGAAGGCTGGGAGAAGCGGCAGAAAGAGCCTCCTGTTGGCTTTGGCATAAGAGAGAGGAAACTAGCTGGAAGCTTGGAGGAGAGGGGCAGTGACTTGGCCGACTCTGCTGACCTATCAGTTTTGTGGGTAAGAGTTGAAATACTCTGAGAAAGTTGGGCACCACCTGAAGACCTCCCCTCCCGGCCAAGGCTACATCCATTAGAAATGGATGTACAAAGGCATCTCTGATGTAATACAAACCCCATTATGTATTATACATTGTTATGTAGTTATATAGTTTCCATAGAAAGGAGACTGCACAAAAATGCATATTGCTCAAACTAAATTAAATGTATTTAGACCCCATTTATAATGGCACTTGGGTTATCTGTGGCATACTTTAAATATTATAATACATGTCTATAATTTGCATTTCAGAGGGTCAGTTGGCCAAAATCACATATTTTTGAAAAATTCAACTGCAGCATGTCATTGGGATTATATCTTTAGTAGGAAGCAGTTCCAATGAAAACTATGCACTATGTGACAGGGTGAGTGGCTCACTCTCACATGGACCCAATGGAAACATGAGGTTTTATTCATGCTATGGCATGAATAAAACCTCATGCTTATTCACCAGTGTTGGGCAAGTTAATAATTATAGTAATAACATTTATTTACTAATTTCTTATTGCAAAAGCAATTGATTACATTACTCAACATTACTTTCTTTAGTCCATTAAAGGTGCCTACTCAAAAAATCCAAAGTATGTAGAAATGTTGAAGTTATGAAACAATATTAGTAACAGTGTGATGTAATGTAACAACTGTATATACTGTACTACTGTACTCCCTCACACTACTTATTTATAAAAAAGTCACACCACATTTCTTCTGTATGCAAACACAAGTGAATGGGCACAGAAGCTGAGGTTAGCAGGAGATGTAACTTTTTGCATTTGAACCTGCATCTCTCTCTCTCTCTATCGCTATCCAGACGGCTTCACACTGCAGGGGTTTCTACTCTGGGGAAGGTGGTGGAGCTAGAAGGGCCTCGGTTGGACGACCCTGTTGGACTAGCTGATCAGCTTGGATTAAGGTCTACTCGTGTCACAAGTCAGTTACTGAAACACTGGAAACAGAAGCTGACACAGCATGAGTGCTCTCTTTTAATTGACTTTTCTGATGGAACACTGCTGCCAAACTGCACTGATCTGTATCCTGCCATTAGGCTTTCTCCTGATTTTAAGAACTGTTCTGGTTTTCTACTTGAGCCTATGGACCCCGTAGGTGCTTCTTTGGGGGACGCCTCAGGAAAGACTCTCTATAAACTGATGGTGAAAACTGTGAATCAGAGAACACTGAGTGGACGTAGTGACACCCCGTGGACGGTTTTTCTGGACTTAGATCCTGACTTTAAACCAGCCTGGAGGTCTTTGTACAAATCTCCATTAGCAAAGAAACATGCAGACGTGCAGTGGAGAATCCTTCATGGCATTATAGCGGTGAACTCTTTTAGCTCTGTTATTAACGCTGCTGTAGAAGAAAAATGTCCCTTCTGCAGTGAGAGAGAGACAGTGTTTCACTGCTTCTCAGAGTGCATTCGTCTGACAGATTTGTTTGTGCAGTTGGAAAACATTTTCAGTAGATGTGGAGAAGTTTTTACGAAGCAGATTTTTATGTTTGGTTTTAGATACGTTCGCCGGAAGAAGAACAAATGTCAGTTATTGAACTTTGTTTTAGGACAGGCAAAGATGGCTGTGTATTTGACCCGGACACGAAAGGTGGAGGAAGGGTTAGATGTTGATCTGGTTCTTGTTTTTGAGAACATGGTTAAGTCCCGACTGCTGTTAGATTTCATTTTTTACAGAGCTGCACATGACCTAGATACTTTTGAGCTGATTTGTGGTTGTGGGGGGGCGCCCTGCTCTGTGACAGAGGGGCAGTTAAGTTTTGAAATGTGCTGATCGAAACTTTTGATACACATGTAAACGCAAAGGTATTTATTAATGTAATATAGTAGGGGGTTTTTTGTACAGTGCATATAGTAAATAAATGTTGTTGTTAAAAATCAAATTCCCCCCCACTCACTCACTCACACATACAACACCCATCTTACTGATATCTGCATTTAAAGGACCAACAGCTCAAAAGGCAGCTATTGAGAGAGGTAGAAGCAGAGAGATAAATGCAGAGCTTCATTTTATTAAATTCCAATTTTAGGTTTTATAATAAAATACTCAATTATAAAGGGCAGACAGTATACAGATGAGGTTAAAATCAGTCAATTAACTTAATCAATTTTCAAGTCATTATTTTTACTGTGGTATGTTGGGTATTAAATGATGTTGGTTAGGTTAAATTTAATGTAAGTCTATTAAATGTAAGTTGCTGCGAGAAACATCCTGAGGCGAAACTACGTGATAATGGAAAAAATTCATAATATGTAAAGTCATCTATTCATAATTTTATACTTTGGCTCTTCACCAGGTGTTCTTTCTCTGTGGCCACATCAATTAGTTGATGTTCAACTTTGGCAAAAATCTAATTGTCCATTAGTTGCCACTCAGTAAAACACATGAAAAAACACACGGACACATACACACACCACCATCTCAAATTATGTTTGATCAGTCAAAAAAATCACTGTGTTTCTTCTTTCTTTTTGCTGCAGTTATACAGTACTTTCTACCATAATTAAGTCACTTCGTAAGCAGCTGTTAATATAGTTAAGTATTCAGTAATGATTTTACTTTTCCCAAGCATACTGAAGTCACGTGCATGGTTAATGTATTCCCAGAAACAGAATATTTAGCATAAAGGGTGTTTCGACAAGCAGAAAGAAATCAAAATTTCCATGACGAGTACATTTTTATTTAATTTTTTGTGATTAACAATCTCAGACTCCTGTGTCTTTCCGCTCCTAACTGTAATACCCTGACCCAACTGCAATGGCAGTGAGATCTGGGAATTTGCCTGTCATCTTCTGAAGGAGAAAGTCAGATGTGTCAGACAGAGCAATACAGATGAAGATAATGCATAGGGCATACTTCACACCCTGTCAAACTCAAAATATGGACCAATTTGATCAATGCTGGCACAGCTGTGGAGAAGTGGGAACTCTCATCCATATGTTATGGTACTGCCCTGCTGTTGATTCCCTGTAGAGGGAGGTGGCACATATGCTGAAAGGGATCCTTTATGTAGTCTCTGGTTTTCGCCCGGGACGTGCATGCTGGGGGCCCCACTTTGAGAACATTCAAAGCGATAAGCAACAAAAGTGCGATTGCCCTTGCGTGATTCGCGGCAAAACATTTGATCTTAATGAACTGGAGTGTGAGGAGGCCCTTCTGCTTCTATAGAGATAGGTGGCTGAAGGATTTCCTCTATCTTTCAAGCATGGAAAAGGCCACCTTTATTTTTGTTGTCTTGTTAACGTTGTCGTCGTTAGTGTTGTTACTGTTGTGGATTCTACGGATGCAACTAAATGAAAATTCTTGGCCGAAGATGAAACTGAATATAATGAAAAAAAATGCAGAATACCGAATAAGTACATTTACATTTTTGCCTTTTTTTTTTACCACTGCATAAATAGTCAAAAGGTTCTTTTTACCCAGTGTTTCCCACAGGATTTGAAGAGACTCAAGGCCCAAGAGGGTCTGGTAAAGTAAATGACATGTGTCTATTTACTTTTAATGGACACATGCGGCAAAAGAAAAATGTAATGAGTCTTTGCTCAGGGTGGGAATTGTTAGGTATCTGTAAATAATGTTACAAACACTAGGGTCTAGACCTGCTCTATAAAAAGTGCAATGAGATAACTTCTGTTATGAATTGGCGCTAAATACATTAATTAAATACATTTATTATAATGCATTTGGGCAAAACAATAGTCATAGACATAGGTCAATACCTTTACCATCAGGAGATTCACAAAGATATAATTCACTGTTCCATCAGATTACATTAAGCTGTACGCCACAAGGCTGGTGGACCTGTCAGTTAACTACACGAGAGGCCCCAGACATCCGAGAGGCACGAGGATCATTGTGTGTGGGGATGGGGATTGTAAATTTTTATTGATATCAATACCCTTATTCTTATTCTTTATCGATACTTTACTATTAATTTGGTGATGGTTATTGGTAAGACGAGACCCAACATGCATGAGGTAGGCTTGCACGGTATGAGGAAAACATTCGATGTGCAATAACATTGTTATACATTGAGATGACATATGACTTTTGATAAATAAACATATATTGAAGAGTGCATATTAGCTGCCTGGTTGTTTTACAATTAATTATAGGATTAGAATTTAACATGTTAAATACAGCTAAATGTTGTTTCTAGAGCAGCAACATTAATGTTTACAACAGCAACGACACTATATATAAACTAAATATCTGACATTACAATAGTGAGTAACGTTTAGAAAGAATAACATCAGTATGTACCAGTCCTTCCTCTTCCTCCTCTCTGCTGTTATTCACTGCCTGCAGGTAACGTTACCATGTAGAAGGAGGAGCGGCTGGTTTGTCTCAGCCAGCAGCTGAGTTTTTAACAATGTGCCAAATTTTAAGACTACAGACCAGTCTGTGCTACAGACAGACAGCTTTCAATTTAGCTTGTTTTTAATATTTGGCTAATGCCAAGCTAACGTTAGCTGTGCTTGTATAAAACACACACGATGAGAGACTGAGGACAGAGATAATTAAATTAACCGTTTCTACATGTTTACCATACACACAGGTGTATTGATAAGTGTTGTTTTTTTACTTGCCAAGGTTTTATTGCACATACTTTAATTAATGAGCGTAGCTGTCATCAACTTGAGTAGTTTGGAGCTAACTTAACTTCACAGTCTCCACCGTGATGGAGCAGCATCTCTCTCTGCTGGCCGCTGTGTGTGTGTGTGTGTGTGTGTGTGTAGAAGGAGCCAACAGAGAGCAGCAGAGTCTGTAGCCTGATTACAAACCTACATACCTACCTGTTTGATCAGTGCCATCACTAAAAAAACATTAGTTTTCCTATCCATCTCATTTCAAGTTAAATCAGACTTGACACTCTAGACATACCGTTACATTGTAGGACCTGCTAGTCTTGACAGCAGTATCGATAAGTTAGGTGCTTATTTAATTTCGGGTTTTGAGAAATTTTGGTACCGGGTCCTTTTAGAACCGGGTCGTGATCCCAATCCCTAATTGACCCACCACTAAGCGATGCGCTGAATACACAGCTGGCCAGTCACAGCACAGCATAGGACTCGCTCTAACTGAGGTCCGACACTTTCATGGCCGTGCTACATTGACTCGTATGTAAAAGGAGTAGTTTTCTAGCTTTTTTTGGCTGTATTTTCCTAAGTTATGGTCAAAGTGGTTCCTGGGGCACTTGCAATAGTTACAGTCGCTACCCAGAGAGGTTGAAAGGAAATAAATCCAGAAAAATGTAAGCTGTGGATGGTTCCTAATGTAATGTTAGTAAGCTAACGGTAGTTAACTTACTACTGAATGTAACGTTATAAAGCCCTACTGATCTGCTTTGTAATGACTGTAAAAGTGAACAGAGACCTCCCTGTACAGGAGCAGTGTTGATCCTTAATATCGTTGTTCTCTTTCTCAATCGTCAGGTAATACGGTGGTTCACTTTTACTGTGTGATTGGTAGGCTTTAGCTTCTGTCTTTCATTTTGCCTTGATAAAAGTGTGACAACTCCGACAGTTTGTCGGACTTAGCAACAATAACTAAGGGGGGCGTGGCTTAGCGAGGGGTCAATTGTGCGGAATTTGGAAATGATCAGAGGCTGTCAGTTCATCCTGACCAATCCTGTCAGAGTGTCGGGAGATTTAAATAATCAATGACATAATGCTGCTGTACCTTGTGCACAAACTAGAAGAATGTGTAGAATACACCCATGCAGACACATCTTACTATCAGAATAATGTGCCTATTAAATAGCAGTTAAAGTAACTCAAAATTAACGCAAAAGTACTGTATAGCATTACATATCAGAGACAGTAATGTAATATAACTAATTAGTCTCAAATGACAGTAACTGGTAATCTATAATGTATTACATTTTGGAAGTAACTTGCCCAACACTGTCAGACACTGAACTCCTTATAATGTAATGTTTCTCACTCACTAGTTCCCTCCCACACTGGCCTTCCACCTTGTACCATTCCCCCTGTTTGGTACTTTTAAGTAAACTTGTCGTGTCGTTTATTTGAATTACGTACTTTTATTTTTATATACAGGAAATACCGATACCAACCAGAATTTGGATATCCTTGGTCAAATCTCTGGTCACACCTGTCACACATGTGATGCCTATTCAACAATGTCTAGACAATGGTTCAAGTGTGTCATAGTAACACGGTGAAAACCTACCATTATGCTGTGTTTTATTTTTGCAGGTAATACAAATTAATCTGTAGAGTTTTCCTTTTCTTCTTTTTCTGTTGATGTTATAAAAGCCTTATAATTTCCCTGCGGCTGCGAAGTTCAAGTGGGTTGTACTTTTAAAAGGCACTGTACAAGCACAAAACATTTTAAATGCATTGAAAAGCATGTACTTCAACCACACTGTCATCAAAAATGTAAGTGTATCCAAACTGCATGCGTAGCTACAAGAGGGGTGAGTGGGTTGTGAGGGAAAGAAAGCTGCTCTCTGCATGTGTGTCTTCAGGGAGAGTTCACAACTGTCAGTGTGTGACCAGCTTAGCCCTGCTCTCTTACACTGTGTCACTGCTAAAAGACAAGAGTGCACATCCACACACACAAACATCAGGACCACCAGCAAGCATGACACACAAATGACAGATGGAAACAATGGCACATTCAGCGCACAAACACACACACACACACACACACACACACACCACAGGGCAGGAAGAGGGGTGAGGCTGGTGACAGTCCCTGTCCCTGTGTCAGTGTCAGTCTCTCCAGAGGAATGGGGCAGAGTGCCCAGCGTGAGACTCAGCCTGTCATCACAAAGTGACATAAACGACCCACTTTCCTTTCCAGCTTGCCCTTCCCCGCCGTCAGAGCCCCATCTTCTAAATCTGGTTTTACCTACCCTTAATTCTGTATTGGTCTCCATCTCTGAAACTCTGTATTCAAACAAAATAAAACAATAAAATACATAAAAATAAAATAAATGTTACAAAAATAGCAATAAAAGCAATAGAGTATAAAGTTAGGCCTTACCTTTCTTCAAGAAGAACGTCACTTTTCAGTATAATCTTGTCGGTTGTAGTGTTAATCAGGTTAATTATTATATAGACTTTATTCAAAAACTGCATTACTGCAGGGTTTCTTTATTAATCTTTGCTATTTGACGGCTGTTGTCTGTGCTCTATACTTCAAGTAAAGATAAACAGGAGCTCAGAGCTCACACCAAAGTGACGGCATGTTTAAGTTGGAAAAAAACCAAAGCTCCTCTCCCACCAAAAATATCAGGGCTGGATCAGGATGCCCTGCGTCTGAGCTTGACATCAGATCAGATGTTAATGGAAAAGACACTGCTGACATAAGGAGATGGATTACTTGTGGAAAAAAGATGGATGAAAAGGGCCTGGTAAAAAGTATCATCTGTGTCAGAAATAGGGCATCAAAAAAGTTTTGTGGCATTGGATGGATGGAAGGAAATGACGAATAGCATTAAATGCTTAGACAGACAGAAGACGCACCATGGCTGGCTGTATAGATGAATGGTCACAAATGGAGACAGGCAGGTTGATGTACAGTTTAAGAGACAGACAGCTACATGTTTAGACAGGTGTATGTCTACAGAGATAGATTTTTGACAGCATGACAGGAATGTCTCATTAGGTATTAATAGTAGTCTTGTCATTTCTCAACTCTGTCTCCTGCAAATGATGTACACATGCAACTGCTGTGCATGTGTTAAAAACATGTTTAAGGAAAAGCTACTTGGATCTCTTAAGAGCGAGTAAAGCATTGGCAAACAACTTCAACATGATAGACCCGACAGCTGAATGTGACAAAACTTTAGCCATGTGGCCTACTTTGTATAGTATCCTATCTGCATCCTATTTGCATTTTGATAGTTCAGTTCAGCTAATATGTACACACACACACACACACACACACACATATATATATATATACATATATAAGTTAAGCTCTAAAAAGGTGGGCCTGTGTGTGTATGTGTGTATATATATATATATACACACACATACACACACACGCACACTTTTTTAGAGTTGATTCATATTTGAGCTAAGTCTTGCCAGTGTTTTGTTGTTGGTTAGTAAATTCACCAGTAATAATTTGGGATTCTTAGGACAATATTGGCACAAACTTTAGTCAGCTGACAGCCTAAAGCTGTATAAAATACCTGACTAGAGTAAACAATTTCAAAAAGTTGGGCGAAGTACTGGATGACCTTTATATCTATAAATGAATAAAACCCACACATAAACGTTATCACCACAGCAGCAGTTTGTGAGAACCATTACTTCCTCACACTGCAGCTTAATGAAAAGATTGTTTTGCTGCAGCTCAGGGATGAACTGACATCTGATTTCTGGTTTAGCAAATGCTCACTGGCAGGCATTCTCGGTATAATGAATTTAGAAAATGATTAAGTAAGCAAACTTTTTCCTCATCACCATTATGTTGAAAATGCCAAGACGTGCTGTTTTGCAGGTGCAACTAAGAAGACATTAAGAAAAAACAATGCTCTGCTGAAAACAAAGCAAAGCAAAAAGTACAGCACTGTAACAGAGACCATCTCACATGTTTTGGCTTCTGTGTGGTTTGAATTTGCAAGACATATTTCTTTTAACCAGTGTTGTCATGTATTTTGTAAACAATCTGTGTGGTGTTTAAGTCTCAGATTTTGTTGTGCATGCATCCCCATTTCCTATTTATTTTGCTTGCCTCATATGTCATATATATTCTAAATGTGCAAACATGCACACAAAAACCCTCACCAAAAGACACACACACAGCATGAGCGATTTTTAGCATGACATTGAAAATTCCCTTTGATCTTCTTGTTAGCAGAAGTCTGATCTGTTTACTAATCAGCGAGTGAGAATAGAAAAAACATTATGCATGCACAGTATCTCGGTTATACGCATACAGATTAGTGAGTGGGTACAAAGAAATGTTAGTGGGCTACACGAAAATCACCATGACACTATTCGCTGTCATACTGAATCCTCTCTGATAACCCATGCAATGTCAAATGACTACATTCATTCAACAGGACTTAAACGCTTCTGGATTCCACTTTTTGAAAGAGCAGGAGAAAATATGTGTTTTGGGTGTGGGGGAGAAGATTGTAGGGAAGAAGATACAGACCGATAAAAGAAGAAGGGAAAGAAGAAAAAGCACTATCAAAAGAGGGAGTGAGTGAAAAAGGCAACGAGTTATGCTTAACCAGTTTTATTGGCTGCTGCTGGTCTCAGATTCACTTGAAACTATTTTTTGGTTTTCTCATTTAAAGAGCTAAAACATTTGGCTCATTGTCTTGATACATGAGCTTATACTTTGTTGTTACTTCTGTTCTGTGGCTATAACAGCCCAAAATAGTTTATTTTCTATTTACTCAATGTGGAAAGCAATAGTTGTGAGTTTTAAGATGATGGATGAGAACAAATAAATCAGGTAGCAACTGTGTCTCCTCAATCTCTGTTATCTACTTCCTCTTTCAGATTTCTTCCCAGATGGACTTCCTGTGTTGCCCTGGAGACCATTCATCACCGTGACAACCATGTACGCCACCTGCAGTTATTGCTTGAGTCTATTATTATAACAAGAAATGCTGTTCGACGTACATCACCCTGTAAAATGCATACAAGTTGTGTGTGTGCATACCGTACCTGCGTCTCCCAGCGAACTGTATATGGATATACAGTACACAGCTGTACATCCTCTTGCTCGCTCACAAGTCTTTCTCAGGCATTCACTCAATGGTGCCAAGTATTGCACTTTATATCACTTTAACCTACTTTACTGCTTGTTAAACAGAGGACAGAGCAGTAATGAAAAAGAACTACCCTGACTGAAAATGCCACAGTTGTTACTGCTGGCTGGCTTGTACTGAGCATTCACAAAAATGGTAACACACAGCACAATTACAGCTTTATAAAGGCTGAGAAAGGGGCAGTGGTGTTGGCCATGGTGGCAGAAAAATGCAGGTGTATGTACAGTATATCCATTCACATAGGGGGTCAAAGGATAAACATACGAATAACACATAGACACTCAAGTACAAATATTGACACAGACACACACTTGCACACACACACACACACACACACACATACACACACACAAACACACACACACACACATACAGCCCAGTTGTTCTACTCATTAAAAGCTGTTTCCATGGCATTTAGAGCTGAGACTTCAGTCATGTTAATGAAAAATCAGGCAATTAGACCAACAAGTTGTTGCAAACTATCTAGTAATCGCTCTACAGAAAACAGACCTTTAATACCAAATTAACCACTATATAGTGGCAGCTATAATATCTTTTGATGCTTTTATTCATAAAATAATGATAACAGATAAGCAAAAAAGGTGCACTTACAGGCTTGCCCAATGGGACATTTATTATTATTGAAATATTATCATACTAGCATTAATTTATTACGGCATACTTACAGAGGTTCAATTCAAATATGATGCAAATGTAACCGGCCCCGACATTGTACTGCACAGCCTGGATTCAAACTTGCAACCTCAGGAATGGGAGGTGGACATGCTATTGAGGAAGCTGCGCTAGCGTGTCTCTTTAGGCGTTGAGGAGTGAGGTTTATTCCCTACACAGCCTGCGTGGCTTCCGTTACACAAACATTAAACTACCACAGTATATACACCACTGTAGTTTACAGTTGGGTTCCACAGTGAATTGGGCCAGTGGACCAATGAGGTATTTCCAATGAAATCATGTGCTTTAATCCCTCAATGACACAGCATCAGTTCTACGAATATTAAATAATTTCTGTTAGAGCAAGTTTCCATGTCACTATGTAATGTCTGTTGCTGTTACTTGTCTAACTTGTAATATATTCACAAACATCATTAGCTTCTTACTGAAAAGAGAGACATGCCCTTCATTATATCATGTTGCGACAGAGAAAGAGAGATCATTAAAGTTGAGTTGTATCCCACTGGGATTAAAACATAAAAAATCCTGACACAGAGGGTGGCAATTCTAATTGAGAATTTCACAGCAAAAAAACTCATGAGTGAACAAAAACGCATGTTCAGTAAGCAGAAATAAGAGTTCATACATAAGAAACATAAAAGATTGATCCAACATACATAAATCATCTTCTGTTATGTCAGTTGAAAGAGAGAGACATCAATTGTGAGTGTGAATTATGATTTTAAAAATGACTCAGGACTTCTCAGAGAACAAAAAGGTGTCCAGAACTTTCCAGCATGCAAACTCATTATTTTCAGGCTCAAAAAGTTAACTTCATGGGGATTTTCCTCTATTTTTCCAAAAGTTGTTGTCAATAGTTATTCAAAATAAATAGAGAGAGAAGAAAATATATATCAAAACTAAATAACTAGCAACATCAAGCTACCAACCACAATGGGTATCTAAAGCCTACAGGGGTGATGGTGTGGATGTGACTGCGTAACAATAATGGCCTAAATAACTCATAGTAATATACTCGTTTATTCAAATGATTGTGCTTCTTTGAAACTTTTGCTTTATGTCACAACCTTGAAGTGAAGTGCTTTTCTGTAATTTTGTTAAATGTCCTTTCTGTTTTACCCATTGCATCTGTGTTCTTGTTTAGGTTTTGTTAGTTGAGCATTACTTCGTTGTTTTCTGTTGTATTTAGTTACATTTATCCTTGTGCATTGTCTGTAGCTTTATTTCCCGTTTTATTTTGTAATTTCGGTGATTGGTGTTTTTGTCTACCATGATTTCTAATGTGTCTCACCTATGATTAATTGTCCTGCCTGCTTGTGTGTGTGTGGTGTGCCCTTGTATATATTGCCCTCAGTTGTGTTCAGTTTTTGGATTGTTCTCTTGTGTTTGGATTACCTTGCCTTTTGTTGGATTAACCTGTGTTTGGATTCTGTACTCTGCCTTTGTTTTGGACTTCCCTGTAAGTGACTGCCTAGTTTGAATAAACCTGCAATCTGATCCGGCCTTGTTTAGGGTCTGCATTTTGGGTTCACACCTCTGTTTCCCTGCTGTTGCACTCAGCCATTCTGATACTTTAAAGAGGTCATTATGTTTTTTGGCTTTTCCCTTCTCCTTTATTGAGTTATATATCTTTTTTGTGCATGTAATAGGTTTGTAAAGTGAAAAAGCCCAAAGTCCAGCCCAAAGGGAGTTCCGAACAGAAAACAATGCTCTGAACTGCCTGAACTTCCCTTTCATCCCTGTGACGACACATGGATGAAAACAAAATGAGCATTATATAATGCTCGCCAAGCGGCTAGTCCGACACGCCTTCAAAAACACCGGTGGAAAAACATTGAGCTGCATCACACACCTTTCCTCTCCCTTTCAAACATGGACATAAAGTTGTTACTGTGATCTGTGAGCTCGATTATAACTTCATGGTTGAAAGATACTTTTGTTAAGACTTAATAACTCACGACTCTGAAACTCTTGCAACAGTCCATGTTGCTAAGTTGGTAAGGGGAACATATAAAGCCGTGTTTACCGGCTTCTCACGACCCACCCCACTCACAGCGAAGTAGGCCCAATCCCAATGTCCACCCTCACAGACTCACAGACTTTGAGGCGCATTCCCGGGAAGTCTGTGAGGGCTTAGGGCCACTGTCAAATCATCAAGTGCGCGAGGGCTCTCTCACGGACATTTATAGACCCTTTTCGTAAATCTGCATTTGTGCAGACTTTGGCTGACGGAATTGCCCACAGTTCACAGCGGTATGACGTGAAACACGAGGGTTACCAGGGGAAGCCCGGAAGCGAGAGAACTATCACGGCAAATCCGCGTTATAAGAGAAGAAAACAGTAAACAAACAAGCATGGACACCTGATGTTAATTGTTGAAAGTTTTCTTAACTTAAGATGCTGCATAGAACACATGAAATCAGAGGAATACAATAACCTTCTTACATACTTAGTTAATTCAACTATTTATTTTAGTTTTTGCGTGATGATGCTATTTGACCAACAATAGTGTATTGATTAATTACAAATATATATTGACATTTAGGCTACCTCTCCTCCACTGACTATGGCAAGAGCCTGCAGAACTTAAAAATAAGAACATAAAATAAAAAGTGTGCAACGTGTTTCAGCATCGTCAAGGTAACGTGATAAATTGGCAAAGGGCTGTCCCATTCCTGTTTACAACATTTTGAGCTATTGCAGCCTCTTGCACGTCAGTAAAGTCTGTAAGGGTTCAGGGCTTAGAGCTTAGGGGACACACTGGGATTGGACCCTAGTCCTTAACTAGGAACTTCGCATATGCAACTCCCAACAGAGATCATGTAGAGGCAAGATGTATCATTCCATAGTTAAAACGAAGCCTTCAACGCACAGGGTGGAAAGAGGAGCTACAGCAATGTACAGTATGACAAAAATATGATGTTTTTTGAAAATGAAACCATGTAAACCTGTTCTGATACAACCCCTAAATAAGATTTTGAACCTGAAAATGAACATAATATGACCTCTTTATTGTTTCATGAAGATTTAGGGTGCTAATTTTCTTTTGTGGACAGACATGTTTCTACATTTAAACAAATTAATTCAGTTTATTTGGAATCCATGTATTCCATAGAAGGACAATATAAGATAAGATTAATGAATCTTTATTAATGATTAATTGATCAAATTCAAATCACTAATGCCTGCATACAGAAGTGACAACCGGGTCAGCACCCATCTACCTAACCTAGATAATACAAGCTTGCTTGCTTGATTACTTTAAAAATGTAATCCGGTACAATTACTAATTACTTTTTTAAAAATGTAGTCAGTAATGTAATCCAGGTACCACAAAATAAAAGTAATGTAATCTCATTACTTTAAGTTACTTTTGGATTACTTCAATGCTGAATAGGCAAATAAAGAGAAGAAAAGTATCAATAATACATTGTTTGCTCAGTGTATTTTTTAGAGAAATAACAAAATCTCCTATTCCCAAAATCCATGTTTAAATATTTTATATGATATGCTTTCCACTATGTCACCACTATGGCTGTCTCTGGTCTATCAATGACAAAAAACAATGTTTTGTGGGTATTCTTGATGATATTTAAGAGTTTGTCATTTTAAAATGTTCATGACTCATTCTCCATATGTATTAATTTAGTATCCAATGAAAAGATTTCTCAATATAATGCTGCTGAAACAGAGTGTTTCTGGGACCGGGCGGATTACTGTACAAAAACACAACATTTTCACCGATTTTGGTGAAACTGTATCATATGTGATGGAGAAATATTGGAAATATGGAGAAAATATTTTCTAGTTTTCTCTCTGATTTCCCACATTTTCTGTGTCTCAACTCTATGATTCACAGATTTTCCTGATGGACCGATAGCTTTACTTGTTGCTGAAGTTAGATAACAGCCAACAAGCTGCTGTTAGTTGTGCAACCACTGGTCAAATTAGCTCACTCTGCCCGTACTGGGAGATTGGAGCACCGGGGGAGTGTTTGTGTTTACCATAGATTGTATAAAGGTGTTTACACCTTTACTCTTTACACTTTAATTGGAGGTTTTCGGGACAGGGGTGGGGGCCCAGCAGGGAATGATAGAGGGGAGCAGCTCCTGATTGGGAACTGGACACGGCATGAACAGGACCGAACACAGCCTCAGGGAATCCAGTACTGAGATGATTTACACAGAGCTCCTTGATGGATTGCTCTACATTTTGGTAAACCGCTAACTGTAGCCTATCTGCCTGCATCTTTGGCTAGTTAGCTCGGTCGGTTAGCTGTGCTGCTAGCGATTCTATAAGCTTACTCAGCTTCAGGGTGCCAAGAGCCAAACCCAGCAAGAAAACCTACGCGGCACTGTATTCCCAGTCCAGCTTCCGTGTTCATTCAAAGAGCTGGAACCAGTCCGCACAGTCTGCATGATGGAGTGGGGGTGGGGTCACACATTCGGTGCTACTGGCGACTGTAAACGGCAGTCATCAAAACATATACGGAGGCAAATAACACTACACAGCTTAGTTCCAAGTGCAAGACTTAGCTTTGTTGTAAGCATGGGACTCAGCTTCGTAGTAAGTGTCGCAGCCAGCTTCATAGTTAGTATGGGACTCACCTTTATAATATGTATCTAGGGTGACCAGACGTCCTGAAAAATCCGGGACAGTCCCGAATTACAAGCAGTTGTCCCAACCCCCTTCCAGTTTGTCCCAAAAATTAGACCTAACATGAGTTTTGATTATAGTCTAATTAAACATTAAATACTGATCGTTGTATAGTTCGCTTGCTCCAGCAGGGGTTGCAGGTTATCTGTACATTCATTGTGTCAACAGCGTTGTTATAGCCACAAAGTAACACTCGTCGTGCTCTTTTCCCCTTTTTGTTTTCTTGTGGTTAGTGGAATTTACAGTCGCGAGGACGGGGAAAGTGTAGCTTCAGTCAGCCACGGCATG